TGTGACATTGCCTGGGACTAGCTTGAAAATCTGATTATGATCAATTTGTAAGTCCTTTATATTTTTTACTGCTTTAGCAATGTTGTTCAAAACACCAGAAGATAGTTTCCTGGCGATGTAAGTGGCTGGTTTACTTATAAGATTATGAATGTTGACTATCACCTTATTCCATAAACTGTTCGAGTCAATTAGTTTCCACCACCATTTGGTAAGTAAAACAAGATTTTGAGCTTTAAGAGAACCGACACCTAGGCCACCTTTCTTTTATTGGAGCTGTCACTCTAGCCCAGTTGATCCAGTGGATCTTAGATTTGTCATCACTTCCTCCCCAAATAAATTTTTGCATTATCTTTTGGAGAGTGTCTATGATGCCTTGTGGGAAGGAAGGCTCTTTAAGACAAACTTGACCAAAATGAGGTGCCCCAAAACGATAATACTTTTGCTTTCCATCATATTCTATTTTTTTTTGAATCATATTTTATTTTGGTTAAAACCTCACAAATTTGTAGTTTATTATTTTCTCCAAAATTATTAAATGAATATTAACGGAAAGAAATTGGTCAATGTTAAATACAAGAAGGAATACACACATACGACTGATAGGAGCAAGGTTAAAACTTAAAACATAAGCGATTGTATTCAACGGAGACTACCCCAATTCGTCCGTTTACTGGCCTCGACCTGCTCCGAGAAACTGTTGGAAGAAATCTGAAACCCCAATTCTGGTAAAAAGATTCTAGATCTGATCTGCCCTGATCGTCGTCTCTGTCTCTGTGTGGTTCAAAATTTCTGAACTCAACATCTCACTGCACCGGCTTAAGAGATGCCGGTGGCTGCTTCCGCTATCTACTTCCTAAATCTTCGTGGCGATGTCCTCATCAATCGTCTTTATCGTGATGACGTCGGGTCAGCTCTCTCCCTCTGTAACCATGTATTCACTGATTCACATACATGGAAATGTGTTATGCATCTAAAAAGACGATTTTTCCCCTAAAGCTTTTAGTTTGCTGATAACAACGAGAACTTAAGTAAACGAATTTAACTTTTGTGCTTTATTCTCCAGCCTGTTCATCTTGTAGTTATTATTAAACGCCATTCCATATAAAAGATGGGGTTTCCGTTTCTTGTTTGTGAAGCCTATACCCCTCATGCCTTCGATAGAAGATAATAACGTATAGAATTCTTCAATGTAAAACCTAAAATTTTGCTGTTTGAAGATCGACACACATTTTGTTGGGATTATCACCAACAGTTTTTGGTTTATTGATCTTGTTAAAGTTTCTTGTATATTGGGTACTAGGAAAGTTTAGAATCAGGATCATTTTTGAATTTGTAAACTATACGACTTGTTTCTAATTGCATTATTTCCTTCAGGGAGCTTTTCAATTGCTGCAAAAGCAGAAAATATATATGTTCAGCTATCTTACTATATCTATTTCTTCTTTATTCTATCATCTTTTAGGGGAAATATGGTGGATGCCTTTAGAATGCACATAATGCAAACAAAGGAACTAGGGACATGTCCTGTGAGACAGATTGGGGGTTGCTCTTTCTTCTATATGAGAATTAGCAATGTCTATATTGTGATTGTTGTCAGCAGCAATGCCAATGTAGCATGTGCCTTCAAGTTTGTTGTTGAGGTAATCCTCTAAGCATCAATGTATATCATTTACCACAATTTTTGTCCTACGACTTGTTGTTTATTAATTATTTTTCATATAATTCAGGCAGTTGCTTTATTTAAATCATATTTTGGTGGAGCTTTCGATGAGGATGCTATTCGCAACAACTTTGTTTTGATATACGAGTTATTAGATGGTACTATAAATTATCCTTACCTTTAATTTTATCGTACATTTGTTTTTTAGTTTTTGTGTTATATCATATGCTTTATTTGCAGAAATTATGGACTTTGGTTATCCACAAAATCTGTCACCAGAAATATTAAAGCTGTACATTACTCAAGAAGGTGTTCGCTCACCATTCTCTTCCAAGGTATTATTATTATTTTTTGATTATCTCTGAAACATGAAATATATAAATATTTTCTAATTTATAATTTCAATACAACAGCCTACAGATAAACCTGTTCCCAATGCTACATTACAAGTAACTGGTGCAGTTGGTTGGCGTAGAGAAGGTCTTGCTTATAAAAAGAACGAGGTGTTTTTAGACATTGTAGAAAGTGTTAATCTTTTAATGTCTTCAAAAGGTACAAATTTAAATCCTGTTTCACATTTTTATATATATATTTTACCTTTTATGTCCTTATAAAACAATTTATTGTTAAACAGGTAGTGTTCTACGTTGTGATGTAACTGGCAAGATTCTCATGAAATGTTTCCTTTCTGGAATGCCCGATTTGAAGCTAGGATTAAATGACAAAATCGGCCTCGAGAAAGAGTCTGAAATTAAATCACGCCCTACTAAAAGGTAATTTACAAAGAAAGTTACACCCTTGTTTGTTTTGTTTTGTTGACCAAACTTTGACTTAAGTATATAATGCAGTGGGAAAACTATTGAGCTTGATGATGTTACTTTCCATCAATGTGTAAACTTGACTAGATTTAATTCAGAAAAAACTGTTAGCTTTGTGCCACCAGATGGTGAATTCGAGCTAATGAAGTAAGCTCACTATTTATAATTTTTTTTAAAAAAAAAACTTATAGCAAAACAACACTTTGTAGCATTTATTATTTTATTTTATTTATAGATATCGTATCACAGAGGGTGTAAATCTTCCATTTCGGGTATTGCCCACAATCAAGGAATTAGGCAGGACGCGGATGGAAGTTAATGTCAAGGTTTGTAAACAGCTAAAATTATGTATAAATTTATTGTGTAATTAATTAATTATATTAATATTTAATATTATATTAGTTGTTAACATTATTTGTTTTCAGGTAAAGAGTGTATTTGGTGCAAAAATGTTTGCACTTGGAGTTGTGGTGAAGATTCCAGTACCCAAACAAACAGCAAAAACGAGTCTTCAAGTGACATCAGGAAGGGCAAAGTACAATGCTTCTATGGACTGTTTGATGTGGAAGTGAGTATCTAATAATTGTGTCTTAACCGATTAAGCCCATTAAGTGAAAAAAAGAAACAACCCTATGAATGTAATTCTTAAACTATATTTTTAATTTTTTATAAATATAATATAATATAATAAATTGCAGGATAAGGAAATTTCCTGGTCAAACGGAGTCAACTTTGAGTGCGGAAGTGGAGTTGATTTCAACGATTGCAGAAAAGAAGTCATGGACTAGACCACCAATACAGATGGAGTTTCAGGTGCTTACTTATTTTATTCTGCTATAAAATATTTTGAATTTAGAAAATAATAATCCATCTTTTTTTTTTTTTTTTGTAGGTTCCTATGTTTACAGCATCCGGATTAAGAGTCAGATTTCTCAAGGTACATATTGTGATTTTATTACACCATGTGTTGTATTTGAATTAAGGTAAATATTTGAGGGTTAAAATTGTCTTTTTGTAGGTATGGGAGAAGAGTGGTTACAATACAGTGGAATGGGTGAGGTATATTACGAAAGCGGGTTCATATGAGATCAGATGCTAAGATCAAATCAAACCGTGTTTTTTTGGACATTTTTTTTTGTGTGGTTGTGTTGATTAGCTGCTTGTTTTTGACTTTGAAGGTCAAATATGTTGTATTTTGACTTTAAAAGTGCTTTATTTGAATTATTTGATAGTACAATCAACAATGGGGGTGGTTTTTTGGAAAGAATAAGTTTGCTTTTGAAAGTCGGATTATATATGATGAGTGGTCATGTCCTTGTTTGGAAAATGACTAGCGTTTGATGCGGGCTTTCATGTGGTCCATCTGTCGACTGTTGTACTTAAAAAGATCATTTCAGAGTTCAGACTTTTTATTTTATTTTATTTATTATCATAAATTGTATTAAACGGATCATCAAGCTAAAAATCTGAGTAAATTTTATATATATATATATTTTTTCAATTCATTACGAGCCAATTTATTCTTAAAAACGACAGTGTTGGATTTTCATGAGATAAGAACATTGTACTTCATAAATAATATTGGATAAACATTCTTCTCGACAAAAATAGAAATTGTGGATTTATTATAAATTCAATTTGTAGTTCACGTAGTTGTGCTTGTGCACCCTTTGACGATATATGCTGACGTTGCACTACCTAATTTAGGATAGCAACCAACAAACTTATGAAGATAGAGAAATTGAAAGGTTGTATATAAATCTTTTTTGAAGGCGAATAAAAAACATAATATATGTAAAATAAATAAAAATGTAGGGGGGATGAATTTGAGAAGAACAAATTTAATTAGCAAAGATGGATGATATGACCCATTAATTACCTACCAAATTGATTTTAATGTTACTAATGTACTTTAGTTCTAGTGCTAACTTTTGATTATGGACGCGTTTGACACGTATAACGTTTGTGGGCTTTTAATTTTTAGTTTTTAACAAAAAAATCCGACTTAAACAAAAAACTCTGTTTGGGAGTTTGAGCATTTAACCTTTAATCTAAACTATTTTAAACATTTTTTTTTCTAGTTTTAGTATTTTACATATTTTAAAAGTTTCTAATTACTTTTACCAAACATTAATATAACAAATAAATGACGTGTTCGGCAAAACTAGCTGGTAGCGGATAACGGGTAGCTATATGAAGTAGCATTTGGATTTGGAGCGTTTTGATTAAACTAAACGCTAGAAGCTTGTAGTGCCAAACGAGACTTTTTGTTTTAAACGGAGCGTTTTGTTAAACGCTAGAAGCTAGAAGCTCTCAACCGCTCCAAAACTCTCCGTGCCGAACACGCTCAAAATCTATAACAACTGAAAACTTGTAACTGCAAAAGAATAATTAATTTATTTGACAATTAAAACTTATACTAATTATAGAAGAATAATTAAAATATTTGACAATTATGAAAACTTTATTAATAATAAATTATTTGGGATTTGTTAATTTCGGGTATAGATAGATAAGAAGCTTGAGAGGAGATGTAGGCAAGTTTGACACAAAGGTGTCAAAAGCTCAAACGTATCTCCAGCACAAGCACAAGTAGTAGATGCACTCAATAAATGACCTAGCAAACCAAAAATTTCATCTTAAAAACCCTAATTCCCTTCTTTTCTCTCTTTCTTTAAACCCCTTAATCGCATCTTTCGCCTCCCCAATCTTTTCGATTCAATTGGTTTCAAGTTTAGTAGGTGCCAAGTAGATTCTCAAAATTGATTTGCGGCACTACAAGATCTATACCTGCATTTGAAGATCAGAGAGCATCCAACAGAAGATCAAGGAAACACACAATTAATTCTGTTGAATTTTGTTCAAAATGGATTCACGAGAATCATTAGCACCACCGCCTTCACTACAGCAACACCACGCCCATCACCAACAGCAGCAGCAGCCACCGCCCGGTATGAACATGATGATGCCACCAAACTCTTTCCCTACCCACCACCACCTATCCAACAACTCAAACACCGCTTCAGCCAACAACAATAAAAATGCCAACATGATGAGTCCCAATTCGATGCAACAGCGCTTCCCCTTTAATTCTCCTTCTAACCAATACGGTGACGGATCGTCTCCGTCCGGTGGGTTTAGGGCGGATGGATACAGCATAGAACCCGTCAGGAAGAAGAGGGGTCGACCGAGGAAGTATTCACCGTCTCCTGATGGCAACATTGCCCTCGGTTTGGCCCCTGCTCCGATCGCTGCTATTCCTACTTCTGCTGCTGGTGGTGGGAATTTGGATTCTTCAAACGATGGCAGCGGTGGAACCCCAAATGCGGATTCATCTGCTAAGAAAAACAGAGGAAGGCCAGCGGGTTCTGGGAAGAGGCAATTGGATGCTTTAGGTAATTGGTCTTATCTAATTTAATGTGTCTTTTGTTGAATTTCATGTTGATCATCTATAAGAAGCATCTGAATGCTTTAGGCTATGTTTAAGTTCATATTTTTGTTGAATATTACAGGTGCACCTGGTGTTGGGTTTACGCCTCATGTCATTATTGTTAAAGCAGGAGAGGTAATTCTCCCAATTTCACATATGGATGTCACTATACAGTATGTGTCTTTATTTATTTAAATTTAAAAAATACAGTAGAATTTCCCATAAAAGAATAGCTTCAATAATGTGCGATTAATAGGTAAGTGGTGATTGTTTGACATTTGCATGATCAATAGTTGTTTACACAAAGTCTATTGTGTTACATTTGGAGTCCAATATTTGCAAAAGTGAACATTTGGAAATGCACTGTCTAAGGAATAAGCACTTTAACTTTTTCTAAAAATAAAAAGCAATCCCTTTTGTATAAACTTGCAAGAAATATCCTTCTGAATAAACTATAATTTATTACATGTTTTTAAGAGAAGATGCAAGTAATATGGTATTTAAGATTCAAATATTTTGTTAGAACTCATAAATCAATCATACAATTGAAGTACCATAGATGATAAGATGACAAACATGGTGATTAAGGAAAGCTCGATTCTTCTCATTGTTCTTTGCTAATTAAGTATCTAATAATAACATTCATTACCACATCAATAATTGAGTATCTAATAATAGCATCGTTATTCTTCTTTCCTAATTAAGTATCTAATAATAGCATTCATTGTTTTTCTTTGCTAATCAAGTATCTAATAATAGCATCCATTAACAGATCAATATCTTGCTGATGTAAGCACCTTCCGTGTTGCACATATGTAAATTCCCCTTAAAGGTTAATATGGTAAATCAGCATAGAAACACAAAATTTTAGTAAAGAGATTCTAAATACTACTACAGTTGTAGATAATTTTGCAGTGTCTCTTGAAAAACTATTGTATTACCGATTACTTGATCTTGATGCTCTTAAATTATTTCCTCTATATGGAAGATACTTAAATTGTGTTAATTTATTTAACAGGATATAGCCTCAACAATTATGGCATTTTCACAACAAGGGCCCCGCACTGTTTGTATTCTTTCTGCCAATGGTGCCATTGGTAATGTCACTCTTCGCCAGCCTGCAACCTCTGGTGGCACTGTAACTTATGAGGTTGCTTAATATTTTTTTATTTTTCCTTTTTTAATAATAAACTTTTTCTATAATTAATAAATCTTTATGTTTTCATAAATATTTCAGGGCAGATTTGAGATAATATCTTTATCAGGCTCCTTCTTACACTCAGAGAGCAATGGCAACAACAGCAAACCTAGCGGATTGAGTGTTTCTCTTGCTGGTTCAGATGGACGGGTTTTGGGTGGTGGTGTGGCGGGGATGCTGGTGGCTGCCTCACCCGTACAGGTCCCTCTCTCTCTCTCTCTCTCTCTCACACACACACACACACACACACACGTAGATAATACAAAGCAGCAGGCTAACAATGGTGTGTGTGTCTACCAGGTTATTGTTGGTAGCTTTATTGCGGATGCAAAGAAATTAAAATCTAGCGGTGGTCCATCACCGGCAGCGGCACCACCAAACATGTTGACATTTGGTGGTGGTGGTGGTGGGGCGGTGCCTGGTATAAGTCCTCCATCTGAAGGCCCGTCAAGTGAATCGTCTGACGAGAGTGGAAGCAGCCCTCTTCAACGGATCCCTGGCTCCTACAACAATTCTTCCCACCACCAGCACCAGCAACAGCAGCAGCAGCACCACCAGCCGCCGCCACAGCAGCAGCAGCAGCAACAGCAACAGCAACAACAGCCGATGCAGAATCTGCCCATGTATACAAACATGGGGTGGCCAAGCTCCACCATGAACATGCTTCCCAATCGATGATAAATGATAAATGATAAATGGTAAATTCTCAACAAGAAATCTGACATAAAATGATGATGGCAAACAATTCCATCTCTTTTTCAAAATTTCAAACTTCTTTTTTTCTTCCTTCTTTGTGTTCTTGAATTGGTGATTGAACAGAACATGGTGGATGGGTAGTTGTTGATTAGCTTGAAAGCAGCGGAACATCTTAGGATATGATAAGATATGAGATTGATCTATTATCTGTTAGTGAAGTATGAGTGAAACTTTGAATTTAGGAATGAAGATTGAATGTACTTGTAGAATCAATCTGTGTCTGTCTGTGGTTATTCTTGTTTCAATGTTTTACTTGAGTTTATGTTCGGTTGACACATAGTTATGTATAATACAACAATAATTAGAGCTTCGTATTTGACATAAGGGTTTATATTGGAAAATTCTTATATTGGCTGTTAAAATTTCCGATACCTTTTGTTTGATATGAACCCGTGTATTAATCTGTCAGTTAGAAACTACAAAATTTGATTTTTTTTATCCAGATCTTATTTTTGGAGCTTGCTAGGGCAAGAAAAGATCCCATAGGTATCGAACATAACTGGTATCGAACCGTCACCGCTTATGTTAACATGGGACGCTACTCGATACTCTAAAATCACAAAACTCGGGATTCAGTATAGTGGGTATCAGTGGTAGTACTGAAAACTGTTAATGGTACCTTTGGATGTCAAAACCCCCGTAGGACCTTTTTTTTGTATGGGAGGGGACGGGGGAAATTATTTTCGCCCCTGTTTGGTATCGGTACCATTAACTTCAGTTTGGTTTAATACTCGTCACTGTTTTTTCACCTATTTCGATACTCGATATTCTCGAGTGGTACCGATTCAATATCAATTCGATACCATGCTTAACCATAGAGCTTGTTGGAGGTTAAGAGATCTAGATCTAAGGTGGGAAGAGGAAGGATAATGCCGATGTGTTGCAGGTGGTAGGTGGTGGCAATGGTTGGTTGCAACATATGGTAGTTGACGATGGTGGTGGTAGAGTTTGGGGTTGAGTTCTATTAAAAATAAATTAGTATATTAAACTATGAATTGGTATCAAAATGATTGCATTAAACTGTGAATGGATGTATGAATGAATATACTACTAGACTATGAAAATGACGATTTTTCTCTTTATCATAAAAAATGACAAAAAACGTAAGGGAAAATGACACTGTAGCATATTAAAGTTTTGGCAATTGTCTGATTTGGTCACTAGAGTTTTTTTTGGCACATTAGACCATTAAACTCTTATTTGACCTGTTAATTTAGTCATTTTCCCCGATTTTAAACGGTTTTCCGATTGACATTGTATATGTGTCAATTAATATTTATTTTTTGGTTAATCCGATGACACATGAGGTATGCCACGGTAATAAATGATATACGATGCTTAAAACCTATCATATGCACCTGTCGACCTTCATTCTTCATTTTTCAATGCAAACGAAATTGAGCTAGGTTTTGTGAAGCATTTTTATGATCGAGTTGAAGTACCAAAACTGAGCTGCGAAAACCATGTTCAATGATGTTGACTTTTCTTCTATGACTTATTCTGAGTGTGTGACATTCAAACGTTTCATGCATGAAGATTGTAAAAAGTTATACTACTGTGAACCAGATATTTCCCTGATGGAAGGGCTTAATCCCATTTCAGATGATGTGAAATATGCTGCTTTTATTTTTGATGCTTATGGAATAGATAGTATAATTTTTGTTTATGTGGATCATATAAATCAAAGTATCAAATAAATTTAAATATATTTAAAGACTATTTTTTTATACATATTTTAAAAGGTTTAAATGTATTAAATATAAAACCTAAATCGGCATCTCAAGTTAATTAAAAATTATCCAAAACTATTTTAATAATTTAAAGTTATATATATTTTTACACACACACACACACACACATATATATATATATATATATATATATATATATAATGGTTTTTAAATTATAACAATAATGATATACGATGCTTAAAACCTATCATCTTCACATGTCGACCTTCATTCTTTATTTTTCACTGTAAACGAAACTGAGCTAGGGTTTGTGAAGCATTTTTGTGATCAAGCTGAAGTACCAAAACTGAGCCGCAATGGCACAATCGGAACCTAATGGACTGTTTGCGATGGTGGAACTCAACTACCAAGGGGTATTTACTCATAATCATTTCTCTTACACTCGTGGTGTGAAAACCATGTTCAATGGTTGTTGACTTTTCTTCTATGACTTATTCTGAGTGTGTGACCTTCTTCGAACGTTTCATGCATGAAGTTTGTAAAAAGTCATACTATTGTGAACCAGGTATTTCCTGATGGAAGGGCTTAATCCCATTTCAAATGATGTGGAGTATGCTGCTTTTATTTTTGATGCTTATGGAACAAACAGATGGTACAGTTTCTGTTTATGTGGATCAGCATATAAATCAAAGTATCAAATAAACTTAAATATATTGAAAGATTATTTTTTTAAAAATATTTGAAAAAATTTAAATGTATTAAATATAAAACCTAAATCGATATCTCAAATGAATTAAAAAGTATCCAAAACTATTTTTATAATAATGTAAAGTTTTATAAATAAATGGTTTTTAAATTATAACAATAATAATAGTTAAAAAGAACATAAAATTTTAGATTACATTACGTTGTCTTACAAAAAATATGAAATAAGTAATTCGTAAATCAATTAATTATAACGTTAAAAGTAATACTAAATCGAAAATCATATTTAGTTTTATTTACACGTCAACCGCGAGTAGCAACTATTAAATGATATGATTTTAATAAATGTTATAATATGATTCAAAATCATTATAATTTTATATAACAAATTAGTGTAAGAAATTATTATTTCACAATAATATATCAATAACACAATTGTTTTCAACATGCTTTTTTGCCAAAGTTAATTATATAAATTTATTTTGAGTAACGCGTGAATATCCGTCTAATAATCTAGGATAGGTATTCGTCTAAATCCATCCAGATATGCCCATTTCTTTTGGATGCTAAAAGAGGCCGTCTCTAAAAACAATTTGTCGATAAATAGTTGTCACCAATCCGTGACAAATCTGTGGCTATTTGGTTGGTTTCAAAGTTTCTGGTAAACAAAATGTATAAGATTATGGACGGTTTCTTAAAGTTTTGTCAAGTTGTTTTATGCGACAAACTTGGATCCGGAACTAAAACCCATCACACATGGATTAGTGACGTATTAGATCGTCACTTACACCATGATCTGTGGTGGCGATTTGCCTGTTTCTTCAACTTTAAATATCACAGTAAATTTATCTAATATTAATGTTTTTTTTTTTATCACAAATTAGTATGGACTTGAAATTACAATAACAATGCAAACCAAACATCATCTTAAAGGTGGAATGAGCTTCTAACTTCATAAGAATGTGCATGTACTTTGAGAATATTGTAGTTGAAAATATTTTCAAATGACTAGACGACATTTGGTTGTTAAATCCTACTAGAATAAACCATATTAGTTTCGACGAAACATAAGTAAATGCACACTCATCTATGTTAACTTTCACATAATTAGATTCCAAAATTCTTCATATACCTTTTGGAGGACTAATCAAAGATAAAAGGCGGGATTATCACGACACAAGGGATCTAATAGAACCAATAGTTTTTGAAACATAAATAGTTACTCTTATTTTATATTATCTTTCATTATATAGTGAATTGGTTGAAATTCAGGCATGTCCATAGATCGTGCTTATAAATTGTTTATTGTTGGAAAACCATTATCCTAACAAAGCTTGTTGGAAGCAAATGAGTCACAAGATTTCATCATTTAAAAGACTGAGATTTTACATACAAATTATCAGTGACAAAACATACATATTAGGTGTTTGAAGCAGAACCAAAGCATCAACCAAGATCACTACCATTACAGATTCACAAAAGGGGGATTTGACAACTTTTAACACCCATATTACACTCACCCAGAACAAATATAAATTCCAAATACTAGCATAAATAAGCACAATAACATTATTAAACAGGAAAAAATCGTTGATACTATATATATATATATATATATATATATATATATATATATATATATATATATATATATATATATATATATATATATATATATATATATATATATATATATATAAAAGAAATACTTGCATTCCAAAGGATCTACACAACTTCTCTTCCTCTCTTCATTTTGGCAATTCCTACCACGACTGCAACGTATATCTTGTCCATGGTTTCCTCAACAAACATGAAAAGCTTCTGTCTCCACTGCTTCTTGAACAACAAAACTCCAATAATACCCCAAAATCCTGTTGCAAAACCATACATTATGTCCAGGAAGAACAACCATACGTTCCTCGGTTCATCACCTGCTTTGTCTTGATGGATCTTCATCGGCTCATCAATTATTGGGTCTTGATGATTTGAGCCATTTTTTGGCAATGGATCTCCATATAGATCTTTGTTCCCAGCATATATGGATGGATCAACAAGAGTCTGCAGTTGATTTCCTGTTGGAATTCGTCCCGACAAATTGTTGTGTGACAAATTCAAATGGCTCAAAAAGTTCAAACCCGCCATGCTTGGAGGGATCCTCCCGGTCAACTCGTTTCTAGATAAATCCAGAGAAAACAATTGTGCCATGTTCCCAATGTCGTCTGGAATTCCCCCACTTAGATGATTATTAGACAAATTGAGACCCATCAACATATGAAGCGCAGTTAGCTGGACTGGTATTTCTCCCACAAGTTTATTGCTTGAAAGGTCCATATTATAAACTTGATCCCAAGTTGTTGTATATTCAAGATCAACACCTTTCATGGCCTGAATCACATTCTCATCGTAATCAACACTGCCAGAATGCGAAAATAATGGATTACCCTCGGCCATGACATTCAACTCTCCTAGACAATGAGGTATGGTACCCGTTAACTTGTTGTATGCAACATCCAAAATTTGAAGATGTGAAGATTTGCATAAAGAAAGAGGAATTCTACCCGTGAAGTTATTCCTGTGTAACCTTAAAACCATCAAAGATGTAAGGTTTTCTCCGATCCATTCGGGCATACTTCCGGAGAATTTATTGTCACCCAAATCTAATACAGTTAAACGTCCTAAACTCCCCAATTCTCGTGGAAGTTCACCAATGAAGCTATTGTCATTCAAACTTAATCGAACCAAAGATGTAAGAGCTATACAGCTTGGAATGACACCAGACAACTTATTTGAGCTAAGTATCATGGTAGTTAGACGTTCTTGATTCCAAAGACACTTGGGAATTTTCCCAGTCAACCTATTTCTAGAAAGATCGAGATAATCCAAATCTTTCCTTGTGCACAATGAGCTTGGAATCGACCCATTGAAAAGGTTATTTTCCAGAAGTAACGGACTAAGCCCAC